CATTCAACACTGGTGAAATGAACTCGGCATTTCTGTGCGACCCAGCAACAGAACTGTGCCTTCAAGGAGACTGTGATCACTACCCAAAAGGCCAGTTTCTTACACTCCAGGAACTTGATATCCCGGAGGATGAAGAGATTGTGCTTGCAACATGGGAGTCCGGCGACCTGTGAAAAAAACTTTGGAACCTGAGACTTTCCTAAAAGTCATCCAAGTGACGGTTGGAAGTTGGGTACTTCACAACCATATCCGGCAAACGCAAGGTAAAGCGATCTACGATGAAAAACAGTGCATGCAACGCGGGAGCATTGTCTTTCATTTTGACTTTGCTGAAAACTGGACCATCGTGCTTCCTGACGAAGTGCAAGCATATCACTGAAAAAAAAAACAAGTTTCGGTATTTACATGTGTAGTGACGACAAGAAAATCTACAAACAGCTTTGCCATCATCAGTGAGGACCTGTGTCACGACGCCGCTCACGCTTGCTTGGCTCTAGAAAAAGTGAAGGAGTGGGTTGAAGACAACGTTGCGGTATACTCGTACGTGACGTACGTAAGTGACGGCGCCGCCAGTCATTTCAAGAATCGCTACCAGCTTCACCAATTTGCAAAGGACGATTGCCCACAAGCCCAGTGGTTATTTTCTGCATCTGGACATGGGAAAAATGCATGTGACGGAGTTGGCGGACTCGTGAAGCACCAGGCCACGCTGAACAACCTGAGAGAACGTTCAGTAAGCGCAATTCAGACGGCCAGGACAATGGTGAGCGTTCTATCAAAGAAACTGAAAGGCGTGCATCTTGTATATCTGGACGAAAATGTGGTTGTTCGGTATCGTGAACAAAAAAAAGAAGAGTGGCTGACGGTGCGCGCCTTCCCTGGCATTCAGTCTTGGCACGCGTGGCGGCTCAGCAAGTCATCAACAGAAGGGACCTGTGACGTATATGTAGCACGGACAGTCGGATCTGCTTGGAAGCAACTTTATTAAATGGGTACAGCGAGGAAAACCTTAGCGTAAAGTGCCGAATTTGATTTCCCAAGGACTGCTCATTTTGAATGCAGGGACATCTTATTTATCACATTTTTCTTCACGGGGTATTTAACCTACTGTTTTTGTTGGTGGTTACTAATAATTTTTATCTGATCACTATAAAAAAAAATCCCAAAATGTTATCCTCGAGCAGGATAAAATATATCGGCTTGCCACGATTCATTCATACACCGAGAGCATCGAAGCTGCTCCAGTTAGGCACTATGGCATCCGTCACCTGAAACTGTTTGTAATCGTAAATACACAGCCAACCTAAATATCTTACTATTATATCTTTGTTTTTGTGTGTGGAAGTAAAGTTATTTATTTTACTCTAGATGTAAAATATACCGGAAGGTACAACTTCACACTGCATCATCTTTTCTCAAATCATTAGTCTCTAATATGATACCACTTTGTACGCTTATGTAAAATGCTGTATATAGTTTCTCCTCCCTTTTACTGTGTGACCGATCGCTCTTTTTATCAATGACCTCATCTGAATAAATGTATATAAAAGATTTGTGCAAGTTTCATGAAACTGGAACTCAGAGTCACTTCTTGTATAGGACACTGCAAAGTGTAGGCTTTGAAAAAGGACCCTACTTTGGGGAGTTGTTTCTTCTTTCACAGTGCAATGATGCAACATGTTTTTAATGGAAATGAATGCCGAAATAGAGTATAACAGGTTACCTAAATTTTAAAAAAATCGAGGGTGGTGTTTTTTTTTTTTATTCGCATCGGATCTTTGTTTGATTTTTTTCCATGTTTGACTAAATATATCCTAACTATTGTATCACACAGATACCTTAGTTATTTTTTCAATAATAGCCATATATTAGTAAAATAATGTCTGCAAGTTATGTAATAATGATTAAATTATTTCATGAGATACAGATTTCCAAAGTTTGCCATTTGTCGTTCGAGCAGGCATGTTTGGCAATTTTCAGAAAACTAAATAAATTTTTAATAAATATTATTACTTTAGATTACAAGCAAGTTGTACCCATAGTTTGTTTGTAAAAAGTTTTAAAATTCTCCTAATTTTATTGTTTTAATTATTCACTTTCAAACTTGCCCCCTCCATCAGTGCGCGTTATTGCAACTGTCCACCTCTCCCTGCCTTACGATTGTTCTTGTCTCCAAATTTTTTTTCTGGTCAAAACTAAGTGTGGATTCGTTCATACCAGACACTAGAAAATGTCATATAAAAACATCAGTTGATTTAAAAATGTCGACCAGCCACCCTTTGGTCGATCTTATCTGAAATCACCCATATATATATATATATATATCAGGGTGTCGAACCGGAACCGAACCAAACCGAAAACCGGAACCGAACCGGTATTTTTTCCGGAACTGAACCCGAACCCGAACCGTTATATTGTTATCGCGATGAACCCGAACCGGAACTGAACCGGAAAAAAATAACGGTTACCGGCTCATGTCAAAACGGTTCGGCCACGCGCTGTTGACAAGGAATGTGCTATCAATGCCATTTGTTTTTTAAGTGCCGTCAACTGACACACACCTCGCTTACATATTTTTCTTCTCCACTCAGTCTTAGGAATATAAACGCTGCATCCATGAATCTTGACAAACGCTGCATCCATGAATCTTGACATAGGAACCAGTATTGCGCTGGTCGCGGCTTGCACGGAAGAAAGAGAATTGGAAGGCTGCGCAAAAAAAAAAAAAAAAAAATCGCGTCACGGGATTTCATTTTTCTACAATCTCGTAAATCCTAAATGCTGCTGTGTGCTCATTTCATAACACGTTTCTAGAACGCGCGAGTTCTTGAAGCTTGCTTCCATCGGAATGAGAAAAGAAAAGGCTGTGGAGTTTGATAATAATGCATCCGGTTTCGTATAGGCACTTAGAAGCTAACATATTTGTGAGACAGCGAAGTCTTCTATTTTAATATTTATCCTATTACGTCCTTCTGGCGTTGCGTTCGGTGAAGTGTTTTTCATATTCCGTATCTTGTTTAATGAAAACTTCTTTAAGGGTCTAATTTGAGTTACCGAAGGCTAGTTCAAATAAAGAAAGCTGTATTTTCTCCCCACTGTTCCTTCAATTGCTTACACGCCGAGGTGGCGGGATAGTTAGCGAGTTCTACTTGTAAGTGGGTTTGTAAGGAGGTCGCGGATTTTACTGCGTCGGACCCAATTAGATGAAGTCCGAATGCGTAAACGTCGGTGAGGTAACCTATGAGTGCACATAAAGAAACCATTCCTGGTAGAAATCCCTGAGCCTTACACTACGATGTATCCCGTTTCGTATGTGCTGATTTCAGATGTTTTATTTGTAATTTATTTTGACGTTGCAATTTGTCATTTATAATTTCCGAACCGGTTCGCGAACTGGTTCGCGGATCGAATTAATCGAACCGGAACTGAACCGGAACAAAATAAATTTACCCGAACCTGAACCGTAACCGAACCCGTATTTTTTCGGTTCGACACACTGATATATATATATATATATATATATATATATATATATATATATATATATATATAAAGAACATATTAATCAATTGGCCAAAGTTGTCAAGAAAGGCGGCGAGGTTTATTTTATCCAAATAGCAGCTCTTCGACTCTGTTCGAGATATGTTGAAAACACGAGGTCTTCCACTACTCTCGACCCGTCGAAAAATAGCCCGACTAAAATACATGTTTTTGGTTTCTAATCAGTTTTAGAACATTGATGCACGTTCTAAATTCTAACCCCGAGCCTTAATAAACATCAATTTGAACTTTCAAAATGTAACAACGACGTTTCTAAATACTCGCTTTTTTCTAGGACTATCAGGGACTGGAATAATCTGCCGCATGAAGTTGCACTGGCTGACTGTACAAATGAATTAAAAACAAGAACCCTTTTGTATTAATGTGACATAGATTTAAGTGCTACCTCTTATGCTTCACACCAGTTAAAGTCGAGCCCTTAAAAAAAAAAAAACATATATATATATATATATATTCTTTATAAAAAGCACCAGGAACACCAAACGCGAAGGCTCGTTAATTTGTATTGCGTCTTAAACCTTCCACTCACTCTATCGTTGGCAGTCTTTTCGTGCGAGTTAGAAAAATAATTAACACTAAATTTGGTTTAGCTTAGGTACAAACGCAGCCGACAACAAAAAGCTTAAAAGCTCATTCCCCTGTAGAGCGTGCTTCGCCGCAACATGTATCGTAAAGAGGAAAAAGCAAACCTCCAGGGTAAGCCGCGTCTTAAATCGTGCGGTTTGTTTTTCATGAAGCGTCCTCGACGATTCTGGTCTTGAGCATGATTGGAAGGCGATCAATAACGTAAAGAAATGAACAAAATAAAAACAACACCAACAAAGTAATTTTACTAAAACAATTAGAGGAGCTCTATTAACGAAGATATTCAAATCTCGTCGTCTGCAAAAATGCGCCATCCTCTCCGGTTTTGTATTCCTTTCAACGAGATGGCGCCAGTACGCTTTGAAAGGCAGCTGGCCAACGCCTAAAAGGAAGTCTGGTGAGTTAATGCAGCTTACTTCGAACGCCTTTTTATAAGAGTGTTCGCTAGAGGACGCGCATTTGAAATTCGACAAGTTTGAGAGGACGTGCAACTTAGAGATGTTGACTAGAGAGTAAATATTTGCGCCTCAATAGCATTAGGGCTCTTCGCGCGACAATAAAAAATCAGAGAGAGTGTGAGAACGTTACGAGTGTCATAATAGTGAATCGTCTCTTACGCGCTTTGTGCATTTGACTTTTAGAAGTTGTGACCAGTCTTGCAATGCAAGCTGCCGTCACGTTTAGACGAAAGTCCAGATGTACTATTCACGTAATCTGTCGCAAGACATACACAAGTCGATTAGCAGACGGAGCTGGGCCCGACGTCGGTTCCTACGGCAGCGCCGCGGAACGCCTAGCGGGCGTCCAGGCGCCCCAGCACCACTCCGGCCGACCCGGCGGCCGACCCGGGCCCCGAGGTGCGGCGGCTCCCTTGAGCGTGCGCCTGCGCAGAGGCGTGCTGGCGGCGCGCAACGGCGGCGGGGAGGCTTGCCAAGATGGCGGCCTGCGGATCCGTGCGAGGTCGTCGCTGAGCCGCGGTCATGCGGGATCCCTGGGTCCCGCGGCTGGGGCGCCCTTCGGTTGACCCAACAGAGTGCGGAACAGTTCCTAACCCAATGAACTATGCCATTGGCGCCTAGGCATGGGACGGCATCTTGGGAAGCGCTCTTCGGGCGGCTCGTGCTCTGGGCCGTTCTGTGTGTGTGCCGCGCTGACGACGAGGTGCCGCTCCAGTTCCGGCCGTCGGCCCGCTGCAACGCGTCGTGCAGCCGGGGCCCCCGCGCCGCCCTGCTCGGAGTCGCCGGCAGCGCTGCCCTTCTGCAGCCACCTGCCCGTCCAACGCCTGCTCGGCGGACCCTGCACGAGGCTCCGGCTACACACCGCCCTGCACAGGGACCAGCTCGCCTGCCAGCTCGCCTGCGAGTTCTCGGCGCTCCTGAGCCGCTTCGACTGCCTCGGAGGCTATTCCGCCAAATGGGACTGCCACACGTGTGCCGTGAGTACCGAGCGCTTACTGCCTCGCCACGGCCGCTGCCCCTTTTTCTCCCCAATCGTCCTGTTATCCACTAGAAAGGGAAAATAAGAAACAGCGACGCAGTCATCTTTCTTTGAACAGTTCAGGAGAATACTCGTGGGTCTGCCGGAAGTCCGACCTCGACTCGTCCTCGAATCGGCACTTGACCGACCCGACCGCCGCGCCTCGTATCATTCGTCCCGCACGGTTCGGATGCCTCCTCGGCGAAACCGAAGAGAGCTCCGAGCGCGGGCGTCCTCGTTTTCCCGACCGCTCCCCCCAAAGATGTTCGCTCCAAACTGAGATTCATTCGATTCGTTCCCGCGTAATCCCCACGGGGCCCGCGATCAACGCCGAGTCTCTCGGCAGCGACCGCCCTACAAAATATCGCAACCCTAAACTGCTGGACGAAACGGCGTCCAGCGCGACAATCGTACACACGGGTCCGAACCGCCGATCGGTCGTGGCGCGGCTGTATAAAGACACGTCTCGGACTTTTCAATAACAAAAAAATCGGGCTCGTTTTTTTTTTTCGACATTTTTTGTACGGAGATTTTGGGGGGAGGTTAGTGAATCGAACTCGACCGTCCTTTTGCCACCCATTCAGACTCCGGGCGATAATCAATTCGGGAGAGACGGACCTCTGCTCTCTTCTACCGCTGCACAGCCCCACTCGATAACTGACCGACCTATATCGCGGCAGCGGAAAGTCGAGAGCGCCTCAATCTTTTCGCCACGCCGGGGGACAAAAACCGCATATTTCGGCACTCCTTTCATTTTTTGTTTGTTTGTTCGCTTCCCCTCTCTGTTGGTCTTGCGGTGTACTGTATTTGCTTGCGACCGCGTAGTACCGTTAATATCGAAAGGATACACGGGGCGTAGCTTTCCCCGTTGATTCGGTATTAAACTTAGCGACTCATCTTAGATTCTGTTCGGTCCAAGTAAGATGCAAAAACGCCCAAAGGCAACGAAAAAAAAAAAAAAAAAAGATCGGGAGGTGGGCGTGCGGGCGCCGACTGAAACTCGAAACTCGTCGTCTCCCCCGTGCACCCATCGCGGTATGCATCGCCGTGTCCGCAGCTCCGCAGCGTTCCCGTGGCCCGCCAAATAAGACGCGTTTTGTAAACTTTCCCGAAATGCCGTCAAATATATTAGTCTCAAGAGCAGAATTTGATTTTGTACGGTTTTTCGGCGCTGCTGGCGTTATTTGAAACACTTTGGCTCGCAGACAAGAGAAAAGCATTCGCCGGCAACGACGGATGCTAGCCATCGGAAGGCCTATGGTAAAAACTTTCCAAAAAAAAAAAAAAAAGAAAGAAAGACATTTGTTTTCACACTTTGTAAGCGATTGAAACCAAAACTCACTGGTGATTTGCGAGGATATGGACTTATTTTAGAGGTGGATACGGAACCGAGAAATGTTACTCGTCCATGCCTACTCTGTAAAAAGTTCCTCAATTTTACCGACAACTATTTTGTAAATATGACGGAAGTCGTTCCCGTTTTAAACTTTACGGACATTTCATTTTTTTAATGTTAAAATAAGGCTCCCTTAATTTCGGTAAAACCAAATAACTGCTAAATATTTCTCAATAGATCCCTCAGGTGTGATAAGCTGCTAGATCGTTTTATCGTACAATCATCCGCTGGACGAAATCACTTGGATAACGAGTTTTCAAAATTCCTTGAGGTATTTAAATAATCTTTTTTTTTGTAATTACTGTTTATTAAAAATTAAAAAAAACAAACAACGGAAGTGTATGTGCGTTAATGTCCAGGGAAAGGGGTGGTACCTGAAGAGATTCGCGTATGCATGTGACAGCGTGTTGTCGGTCACATTTAAAGTGGCAACGTCTCTTTTTCACTTTTACGATAACTTACACCATGCATTCGATGGGTGCTTTAATACAGCAGAACACTTTTGTAGGCCGATGCCCGCGTCTCGAGCGTGACCGAAGAGTTGTTACAAGAACACGACAACTCGGGCGCATGACAATCACGTGGCTGCTGTCAACATGAGCCATAGTGTCAGGTCACGTGACCCATGTTGACCAAGCCTGACCAAAGGACGTGACGTAAGGTCACGTGATGTGCTCACAAAGTTGATGCTATGCGGTCAAGTCAGGCTGATGACCTCACGTGACCGTCCTCCGCTAAATTTAGCGGAAAAATAGCGTATACCCGCCTATAAACCTAATCCAGCCTATACACCCACCTACTTACCAGCCTATACACCCACCTATCAGGGCATGGCAAGATTAGAGCATCTCATCATCGATCCTCAGCCAATAAAGTTGTGGCATTAGCCGATAACAAACGCAGAATAGCCAATCGCGATAAGCCGTCGGTGAGTCTATAGGTCCGCGTAATGCTGCGGTCGGTCATTCAGCGCTCTGATGGCTGGCGCGTATGTTGGCATTGTGGGAAACAGCAAAGCCTGTACGAGATTTTACTGACACATTCGGCAGACCTATCGAATGTAATAATCCTCTCGGCTCCTATACTTACTTATACGTTCGTTTTCACGAGGCTGTTTTTCTTATGTTGTCTTTCACAGTAGTTTGGCGTCTGTTGTCTGAAACAGTTCATTGCAGCTTTGACTGAATCTTAAAAAAAGGTTATGGGCTCTTGGTTTATTGTTTGACCGATACCGTCTCATGTGTGCCACCAAAACTATCCACCCCGTCTCCTTTTTTTTTTTCCTTCGTAAAAAAGAAAGCGTCCACGTTTCTAACATGGACGCCACTGAGTTATTTCGAGTACGCTCCACACTTTGCGCTTCTGCGTCTTGCTACAGTAACGAGCTACAGTAACGAACAAACGCAAATTCATTGCACGAAGTGACGAAATTTATTTTCTGCAGAGCGACCTTTGTCAAAAGTCATTACCCCCTGTTATGAGGGGATATGCTATCACTCGCTGCAGGGCGTGCCTCAGAGGTCTGAAACTACGTGAAAATGTACGCGTGATCTTGACTCATGCCAAGCCTGTAGCGCCCAGACGCTGCGCTGAGCAGCATCAGTGAAAGCGAGAAATCGAAAGTCGAATCTCTCAACTTAATGATCGATTTCGGAGCCCATCTTTTGTCGTTGTACATCTAGTGGCTGTAGCTTACATCTCAGTGTGTGCATATATCGACCTATATGTAAAGGGTTTCTTGTTTTTCTGGTCTACGTTGTTCAAGTTATTCAGCGAAGTAAATCAGTGTTACATATGTATACAAGGGGGGGGGGGGGGGGGAGGGGACGAAGAGGAAACTGCTGTTTCACTTTGATAAGCAGAAATAGGTGCTAGATAAGACTATACATTCTGCCAGTAGGACTCGGGGATATAAAATCGTTTAAAACAATCATGCATTACGAGAAGGGCGCAATAGGGAGAACGCAAAGAAGAATGAGTGAGGCAGTATATCACATGGAATGCATGCTCGGTTACTTGATACTGTCTCGGACGTCTTGAAAACGGCGAGGTTGATTATGCCTACTGTTTAAACTCTACAGTCAGTTTTGAAGAGCGTATGTGAAGGGTACAAAACAAATATTTCATAAACACCAAAATCTTGATTACAACTTGATTATTTTAAGGCGATAATTTTTTTTTTATGGGACGCACGGACGCGGGGGAAGACACACACGGGAATATGCACATGCACAAAAACACACACGGGAATATGAACATGCACAAAACCACACACGGGAATATGCACATGCACATTCACAAAAACACACACGGGAATATGCACATGTACATGCAGACCAACACACGAGGGAATCTACAAACGCAGGTTCTAGGACACGCCCACAGGAAGTGACGCCAGGGCTTCCCAGCGTGTGATTGGTTCGAGCTGGCTGATGGCCTTAGCGAACGCCGCCCGCCCGTCGGAGAGCCCGGAGGCAGACGGACACCCATCCCCGTCCATCTTGTTTGGTGTTTTAGCCTGTTCCTTCTTGTCGTTTATTATTCCTGTTATCGTTTCAGGGCGGCCTTTGTTTACTTTGAGACCGCGGTGTTTATGGCTGGAAATCCGTCACTCGTTTCTTCCTTCGCCGATCGGGCATAACATGTTGTGACAGGAAATGCGAAAACCTAAAAAAAGAAAGAGAGAAAAAAAAGAAGAAGAATAAAAGATGAGGTTAGCTTAGCTAACGTTGGCTCTGATGAAAAAGGAATGCTACTTATTCGTCAGGAACCGCCATTTTACTTGCTTGCGCTGTTAATCAGGCGCCTGTTTATTAAGAATGTTTTATTAGACGTCTTTTAAGTCGATGCTTACGTTTACTATTTCTATTTTCGACAATATGTGACATCGAGACATGATGCGTCGCTGAAATGCGACAGGCCTGAGGAATGTCTTAAATGAGACGAGGGAATTAAAAAAAAGAACACACATCATTAAAACGAGGCTGCCTACGTGGTGTGCGCCCCTCTTCTTATGCGTTTCCTTTGTTGTTTCTCGTGCCTCAGGTTTTACATGTAATGGAACTTTGCCAGCTCACTTGCGAGCGTAATCTTCTTTCAAGACCAGCTCAACACTCTATAGGCGTTTGCAAGCAGCCGCCCTTTGAGAGCCAGAGAGACCAGCGTGGACAAACAACGCTTTGTTTGGGCGCCAGTCTGGAAACAGTGGGCACGCCTCAGCAATGCTACAAAACTGCAGAGGGGAAGCAAATTGGCTTAGAGGGGTGAAGGGAGGAATCATACTTTTGGTTTTTAATTTCTAGGCTAGGTGGCGCAAGCTGCCGCCCGTTATAAAGGGTGCAGCCCATAGCATCCATTCATCCGTGCTGTACTATCGGGGCCCGTTTGCTAGAAGCTGCTTAACTTTAGCCACGACAGAGAGCTAACCGCGTTTCCCTATGAGAAGGAATTTCAGGTTATGTGACCTGCAGAGTAGGAGGGAAAACATGGCGGTGCCCCTCCCAGCGAGCATCATCGCTCGCTTTGGAACTAATATGTCGTATTCGCTGGAGTATTGGGCACGC